GCAGCAGCAGCAGCAGCAGCACATGTTCTCGCTTCAACTTGGCACAATTCAACTCCACGCGTGTGGTGCGCAAAGAACATGGGTATCATCCTGCGAAAATGTAGTGAAGCACCGAGTGTATAACTGCTGACATGAGCAAGGCCCCCCTGAAGCACCCAGAGCACACGAGACAAATTGCGCGTCACCCAGCAGCGCTCTCTGCACACACCGCAGCAGCGACGGGGGAACTCGATTTTTCAGCCGCAGATCTCCGCCTTTTTTTCACATTGTGCACCGCTGGTGAAAACATCAACGCAAGCCCGTAAACCATCGCACAACAGCTGCTGCTGAAAGCACACAACTCTAGACAACTCTAGACTATCTAGTCTAGATGCTCACCTGACTCGTCCGTGTTCCAAACGTGGTCGGGTGCTGGCTTGTGCTCGTTGACGAACTCCTGCCAGAAGTTGTAGAAGTTGTGCAGACGATCATCTTCCGGCGAGGTCATCCTGTTGGCCTCGTAGATGCGGGCGAGTCGAAGGCTGATGCGATCGTACCTTCGGAGGAAGCCCTGCAACCACGACTTCCCCGGGCCCTTGTCGGGGTCCCATGGGATCGGCCGGCCGTCGTTGCAGAGCTGTCTCACACGCTCCTTCAGGTCGTTCCTCGTGAGAGGAATATAGTTCCGACCAGCGTACAGCAGCACATCTTCCAGGGCATTTTCTTCCTCTTTCATCAGCACAGTCCCGTGGCCAACCCGTGCGTCAATGTCGCACTCACCGCTCAGGCGCCGCAGTAGCGAGGTCTTGGTCAACCCAAAGGCAGCAGCGGCAGCGTAGCGTGACATGCTGCCGTTGCGGACCGCTGCACACGCCTTCTCGGCCGCTGCGGAGTCCACTCTACTCCGACCCATGCTTAGCAGGAAGGCGGACAAAAGTGCTAGTCTACGCAGAATCATCCGTACTGGTGCATCTGGTGCTGTAGCTCGTGGTGGAATGGTCGGATCGTCGCGCTGAGGTGCGCAAACGAAAGCTAACGCTTNCAGAATCATCCGTGCTGGTGCATCTGGTGCTGTAGCTCGTGGTGGAATGGTCGGATCGTTGCGCTGAGGTGTGCAAACGAAAGCCAACGCTTTCGCGATTAAAAAAAACAAATTGAGGGGGACGGCAGACTGTGCATCGAGATATGCCCATTTGAAAAAAGTGGTCCTTATAGGGGGGGCGGTCCTTAATACCCGCCCTTACTCTACTGCTGGCCTTCCTTGCTTTTGCGAGGGGCGGTGTGCGTGCTGGTAGGCACACATGTGTGCAGATGATTTGTGTTGTAGGGAAATGATGCTATGCATTCAGGAGGTGCTGACCTTTTTGCGCATTGCCACAAATACAGCATCCAGAGGGGACAAAGGGACAGTGATTCGATGTTAATTAACACAGCTTGAAAGTAGTCCTCCTGCTTTCTGCCCACCTACTACTGCAGAAACCCGCTTGTGAATCGACGTCGTGGCCGTCGATATATCAACAGTTCCGTGGGAGAGAGCCGCGAGACAAGGCCTGCAACTTTCTTTATTTTCTTTGTTTCCAGGCTACCAGTAAAAAATCGCCGAGCTATGGAAGATGACAATATATAGAGCGAAGCTCTATATAGTGTCATCTTCCATAGTCGCCGAGGAAGGCGCCAGCAGGGCCAAACAAGGGGCGACGATCCCGGGCAGGGGGGCCTCCACGCACGTCGCGAACCCCCCGAAAAAACATGTGTGCAACTGGTATCCTATTACACGCTTGTTACGGGTTTCCCAGGATCGCTCACGCTTCCATCGCCGGTGGTCTTGGAGATGCTGGCATTAAGTGTTATTTTGGCCTTGCTGGGTCCCAAATCAGAAGCAGTAGCGTCCGACCAACCTCCTGCGTTCCAGACTCGTCCGATAGTCTCCCGCCGCACAATTGCGCACGGTTCGCCTAAAGCGAGCACTCCTCCGCCCTGCGCGCCCAATATACGCAAAACGACTGCATGGTACAGCGCACGAGACAATAAGGATGAGTCATCTTTGCACCATGATGCCAGCCACAGCGACAAATATGGAGGCAACGGCAGTCATGTCACGTCTAGCAGGCGAGCATTTTTGAACCATGTGGCTGGAGCAGCAGCAGTGACAACAGCAGCAGCAGGAGGGACGCTGCCGAGCTTTGGCGCGACAGCTCGGGGAGTGGAGGAAGTGAAGAAGGGGATTGAAGCAGACTTTCTTTCAAGGTGCAACCCAAGTGCTGTGGTGCTCTTCCCTCGTGCATCGATGAATATAATTATGCCGCGTGTCTTTAGAATCGCTGCTCAGTCAGTCAGTGCGTCACTGCTGCAGGTGATGTAGTCTAGACATTGGTCAGTCTCAAAGCGTATGTAGCGTCTGAGTGAGTTGCAGAGTGTGCCCCCAGCAATGCAAAATGTACATTTATTTCTGAAATTTTGGGTGAGGGCAAACCTTGTTGCTAACGCTACGATGGTGCTGTCCAAGATCGGCAAGAAGCGTTTCAACTTGAACATGAAGACAAACAACAGCAGTAGGCTCCTGTATAGACCCCAGACTACAAAATGTAAAATTATTGCGTTTTTTTTTTTGCGTGTCTACAGGATGTACACGAAACATCACGTGCAGCGAACGTGTAATAGCAGTTCGAGCTACCGGTGTCGAAGTAGCTCTGGAAATGCGTCGGTACTTCCTTCCCTGTGTCCCCAAGGTTCTCACGGAGGCACAATTTGCGACAACGGTGTCGCAAGCTACATGTTCCGTCTGGTATTAAAGATGTGTTGACAATCTCTTTCCAGGGCGTTGGCAAGCGAGCTCGTGGGCCTCCACCACCCTCCCTGAGCCGAGTCCCCCCGTTACGTACAGCAGGAGTTTAGCACGTACACGTGTAAGGGTTCGGCATAACTTTCTACATTCTATGTTTTCTGCCATCATGTATAGCTTCCCCCTCCCAAGAAATCTGGTGAGACACATTGCACGGAGAGAAGGCTGCATCTCTTTCTCTACCCTTTGACTTTGATACGACCACTCCTCCTTGGTAGTGGGTACGCGAAACGGAATCTGTTGTGTTGAACTTCTGACACCCCTACGAACGGCTGCCGGTCTACATGCAGGCGGTACTACGTTACTGGTGATTTGACTCCGTCTCTCTACCGGCCTGACTGCCTCTTCACCGATCCTACCACAAGGTGAATTTGAGAACGATCGCAGATTCCCAGTTATGGTTCCAAGGTTCTCAGGATGCTATCGCCTGATGTCCGCAGTGCTCTGTTGCGCCCCAAGGTGCCCTTTTCACTGGTAGGGTGTAGGACTCACCTTGCATCAACGGCAATCTGGTATCCTTTCTTGGCCATGGGTTGTTGACATGTTTGTTGTCGTGCTTTCGTGACAGTGGGGTTGCAAGAGTCTCATGTAGCAGCCACGGCGAGCCAAGCGCAGATTATCTCTTTGAGTCGCAGGTAACGCAGTTAAATCCTTCCACGCGAATGTTTGCCCCTGTTTGTCCGACCATTGCTGGCGATGTGTATTTGGTAGAGTTGAAAGCGTCGAGAGATACACGGCGGCGGTCAAGCTTCTGTTCGACCCTGACAACGCTCAGGTCGATCTCCTCTCCTTGGTAATAAAGGTGAGCAGTGGATGAACCAGTACAGTGCTGTATGGGCAAGCAGTCGCGACGTGGACTACGCACGTTGCGCGAGCAGGTAGTCGATCAAGTTGGACTCGTGCGGAGTGTACCTGCGACCCCGTATTTCCCAAAATGAGTTCCTGTCACCGAGTCACCCTTCCTGCCCTGCACACTCACGGCCTCTGTCCCCCAGCGTACCAACGCTTCGGCGTCCATATCTGCGACGTCGCATACCGAAGCGCTTCGCTCTCAAACACCTCTCTGCTGAAATAAGCACACCTTTCGATCACTTTGGTGTTAATTAATACACACGTATCGCCTTTGTTCAGGATGACACCCATATTTTCGCGGAGTGGCGACTTCAAGGCTACCTGAAGTTCCCCTGGCACCCATACGTGAAGCCGTACACCGGAACAACGCTGTACACGCTCGATTCTAACGGTTTGATATCTCTTCATGAGGAGACGTGGTCTATCTCAGCGCTGGAAGCAGCTCGGGCAACGATAACCCCGACAGCGGGGCCACAGGCAGCGATGGAATCATCATAGACATCAACAATCGCGCGGGAATCGGCCATCTACCATGAAGGGCCTCAAAAACAACGTGGCCACGGGGTGGAGGAAGCTGGAGACGGGGGAATGAAGCGAAGACTCCGTTCTATTGTTTCGTTCCCGCCCATCTCAAGGTTCATTCTGCACAAGAGCTGGGCCAGGCGATGGGGTGTCGTAACTTGAGCCGGGAGGACATCTCACATTTTTGAAGATTTTGCATTGTTGTAACAATCGGTTGCCTGATCGACCTGCTTTCGTATCGGTCCAACACTCAATGTGATTGTGTCTCCTTTTGGATGCTGCTCAGTGGGTGTACGCTCTCGTTCTCGCGCAAGCTAACCCAGGTTACGCGAATGCATAAAGCTTCTTCAATGCGATGCGGACGTCCACATTGGTATGTAGGGGGACTGTTTCTTGGCTAGCGCCCCTCGAACTGGTTGGTCATATTTGAGTTAGGAAGGACATACAAGGAGTTATTTTGCGCTATTGACTAGAAACGTGACACAGCATACTCATTGGCCCACACGGCGGGCACTTGGTGTATGTCATCCCTCGCATATATGCCCACCGGGCAGTGGTCTAGATTACGTTAACTTCTTGGCGTCTGATGAAGAGATACATGGGCAATGCCCGCCTGACAATCCTGGGGATACCGTTAGGTTGGACTCGACGCATCATGCACCACAGGACGCTACCTTTGTAATCCACAACGCGTCGCTGTGTGATAACTGCCAATCGTGCCTCGAAATCACAGACAAAACACCGCAACGCCTCCGTCACTGGCGTCCAAGGCCAACAACAATGAGGATAATTAACTCATTGAAGTATTTCAATTTGATCTAGTCTAGTTGTAGGCGTTTGGCAAGGTTTGCGGGAACGCTTGATTATAATCAAGATACCTATCCCTACCTTCCAGCCACGGTATGATGGTGCATGTAGCTGGGGGGGGAACCAGAACTACCCCCTCCAAAACACATGACCGGCACGTCCACCGGCTAACCCTAGCGAAATATCGCAACCTACAAGAGCAAGAGACGACCGTGCGATATCAAAGACGTCCTTGCGGGAAAACTCCGACGCATACACTCCTCAAAGTATGGGCATTGCATGCCGGCTAAAGTACACACGGAGTAATTACTCAATAGTGAATGTGTTTTTTGGCAAAAGGCCGGCATTTCACGCGACCGCAACGGACACTTGTGATGACCACAGTAGTAGTCCAGACTACATACCAATGTTTCTTCCGCCCCTCCCAGACTCATGATCATAGCTAGCTCCCAAGCGCTTCGACACGTGCCATTCGGCGGGGACACCTGTAGGAAGCGTTTGGCTACCGTAAGACAAGGACCATATGTTGTTGCACATCGTAGACTATGGCGGGCAGTATAAGCGTTACCCCCCTCGGCTGTGGTTTTGACTTAATCTCGGGGATTCTCCCACTCGATCGGTGGTTGCAAGAGGCGGCTCCCCAGCATCGCCCCTCCCAGAAGCATCAGCGGGGTCTTCTTGTCCTTGGGAAAAATGAGAGGCGACGACATTACCAGTCTTGGCAATGGTCGTCATTGCACCGCCGTCCAGACTGCTTACCGCCTCGGCGGCTTGTTCGGTACTGCTACTCGTCTCCTCAAACACCTCGTCGTAAACGCTGTTTCCGTCCGTCCCGTCAGCGCTTATTGCCTGGTGGCCTTCCGATTCCCATCCTATTGCCTCAGGTATTTCAACGGGCTTCCCTGTCTCGTTTTCATTTGGCCCCAATGCGGTATCGTCGTCCAACGAAGCTGTCGCCGTCTCTCCGCCAACTGTTGAAGGCTCATCATGCCCCACAGACACCGAATGATCAGGACCGTCATGTTCGTTGGTCCTTCCGGACGACACAGGACCATCGGTTGCTTCGTTCGCCGCGCTTTCTCGCCCAGGGGAAGCCTCATGCACAGCACCATCTGCACTATCTGAGGTTGGGGAGACATTCTCGCCCGAACCTGCACCACTTGCAATGGCCTCGTCCGTGGTGATAACAGAGTCCTGCACTTCTTTGACAGCGGCAAGACCAAACGCGGCAGCATCAACACCAGTTGCAGCCTCTTCAGGGGAATCGTCGCCATCGTCAATGGGATCCACGTCCGTGGTCCCGTTGCCGGAGGGTTCTTTCGCCTCGGCGGCTGGTTTTCGCACGGCTTCTGGCTCCCCTTCGTTTGTCCCATTCCCATCAATAACGGACTGTTCGTTCGTTTTGTCAGCCTCTCCGATGTTGATGCCAGCTGCAGCGTATCTGCTATCCTCCGCCTCTCCGGACACTACAGTAGCCGTTGTTGCGGGATCGGAATTTTTGTTTGAATCGTGCATTGACTTCAAGGTGACACTTGATTCGAACGAGTCTCCCCCAACTTTCTGTGAAGAGTCTTGCCCTTGCAAACCATCGGCTGCTGTTGGCTGCTGCAAGGCCCCTTGTTGCGCCAATGGCCCTGTCGTTGCTGAATCGTCGTTCATAGACGCCTCCTGGGAGGTGTTTTCCATGATGGTTTTTGCACTTTCCACGAGGGAGACTTGCTCCATATTCCTGGATGGCGGCAATGCCTTGGGCATCATTTTCCAACCGCCCGTCCCAGCCAGTTCGTTGCGCTCCTCGTAATGTTCGTTCGCTGCAGTTGGTGTCACGGTCGTTCCGCACAGAGGACTCTCGATGCCGTCGCCGTTGACATCACTGCTAGACACACCCTCTGCCGTAGACGCACCGTCAGGAAGGCCCTCATTGGCAGCCGTATCGGCACTAGCGCACTCCTCGGATGAAGCAAGCGTACGGGAGGCACCCGCCAAATTTGTTGGAGCACTGTCCTCGATGTTGGCGGTATTAGAACTATCCGAAGCGGAGTGAGTCCCTGGCAGATTGTCTCTCCTCGCCAACACCACCAAGCCCGCGTTCGTGTCGGCATCTGGGATGGCAGCGCCAGCATGGTCGTGGGCTCCCGGTTCGCATTGGTTGTCGGAGTTACTGAGCGGGATATCGGGTTGAAGGTCGACGGCATCAATCCTGGCAGAACTACTGTCGCCACCAGAATCTTCTGGGAGCGATGATGGCGACGACGGTAACGACCTGCTGGCAGGCAGAGGTGGGGGGTCATCACGCCCTGGTGGGTCTTGCAGCGTTTCCGGCGAAACATCAAGACACGAAGATGCGACAGACATCGGCTGCGGGCTCACTGGAAGTGAGGGTGGATCTTCCTGTGGCTGTGGAGAGTCCACACGTGGCGTTGGATTCCCCCCCGGTGGTGATCGGTCTTCCACCAGTAGCGGCGAAATGCTCAGCGGGGGTGGTGAAGAGCAGGAGTCGTCGCTATTGTCGCCCTGAGGTGCAGCAGCAGAACGCAAGTCCGTTGGAGCAATAGAGGCTGTTGCCATGTTCGGGGGTTCAACGCTACCAGCAGGCGACGTCCCCGCCTTCTGCGTGGTTGATAGTGCCTCTGGTACCGGACCGGACATCCCGGAGTCCTGGTTGCGTTGCGGGATTATTTAATTTCAGAACAAGGGGGGAAGGGCGAGACGAATGGATCGAGACTACACAGAGAGATTAGCGGGAATTTGCACAGGAATTTTCGAGCCTCGATGTGGAGCCGTTTGTCAACCACGATCCGTTCAAGGAGAGAGGGGACAGGATGATGTCCTCTGGAAAGTATTCCTTGATGAACGGTTTTAAAGAACGTTCGGCAGCAAATCGCTGAATTAGCTTCTTCCAAGAATAATACTCCGGGGTGGTCTGTCGTAAACCTACAGTAGCGCGATCCTCGCTTCAACACAGGCGCTGGCACAAAACTTCGACGAAATATCGCTTCGTCTCTCGCATATTGGTTGACCTTCACTCGAAAAAATAGAAATTTGGTTTTTATCTATCCTTCGACATACAGATGCAAGAGACGTTCAACCCTGGGACGCCATGTTGGCGTCCGTGATGTCAGCAGGTCTGTACTTCGTCGTACGGCAGCTCGATTATTGTTTGAAACTGCCAACGCCTCTCTTCTGGGGCGTGCAATGTGTCTTTCGTCGTATTTTTTTGTCGCCACGACTTGAATATGTATTCTCCTCTTGCGTTATCGTCCCTTCCTTGCCACACATGACAACCTACCACTTCCCGTGGGTCGGCCGGTAGGGGCTCCGAGCGCGAATTCCGTACGATGTGCGAAGGGTGAAGTTGTTGTTGCTTTGATTGTTTTCAAATTCAAGGCAGGTTCGGTGTTTCCTCACCGTGGTATACCCATCACCGTCGAAGCTCTCGCTCCGGTACCCGTTGTCAGCCGACAATTCTGAACCCTGTCCGGAGCGCATGCTCCCTCGGCCACCGTCGCTTCCGTCACATTTGGTTTCCACCTCGCCCTCTTGGGCCTGGGTGACGGACAGTCCATTCTGCTGTTGATTTTGTTCCTGCTGCTCCGGACTCTCGATTTCCTCTGGTTCAATGTTTTTCGCCCCTGACGCTGTTTCAGCGACGCTGGTGTCGTTCTGATCCAACCTGTCTTCAAGTTCCACGGCAACCGACTCCAGCTGAAGGTCCGGTGAACAACGTGTTTGAGTACCGCCATTGCGGCCTTTAGTTTGTGCTCTGCTGCAGTCATTCTCGTCCAGGCCTGCCTTAGCTTCTCCCGCACTTCCCTCCCTGGTGTCCTGCTGCTCTCCTTCATTTTCAAGCCCATCGCCTAAACGCTGTTCCTGGCGAACATCTTCAACTTCACTGCTGTGGCTTTCAGCCTCGGCCGGCTGTACGACTGCTTCGCGCGTGCTAGATCCGTATCCAAACTCGCTGCATTGTTCATCCTGTTCCTGTTCCTCCTTCTCCTCCCTTCTTTCTTCCTGCTTGGCGGGAGAGGTGTTCGCATGATAACTAATTTTCCGTCTCTTCCTTCTGCCAACCAAGCAACAATTGGCAGCAGATTTCTAGGTAGAGACAACATGAACGACAAGCGGCTCTATTGATGTTGCGAAATAGTGAAAGTTGGCTAGCGTGTCCCAGTCCTGTGCGCCCAGGGAGAAAGATACAGGGGGTGGCCAGGGCGAGGGACGACAGAATTTCAGCATCAACCTGGCAGTCATCGTTCGGACCTGTGTTGAACAAACCTTTCGATCGATCACAAGATTGAGTTTCGAGAGCTACCACTGGTCTCTGCGTCGTCGTTTGAGGCGACTCGTTGAAACCAAGAGGCTTACGCCACGACTGCAATGACGGGTGGGAAAGACCGGTCTACAGAGGTGTGTGTGAGAAGAATGCCATGTCTTTAGCCTCGTAAGGCGGATGCGGCCCTCATGTTGAAAATCAACTACCGGACCCCTTGGGGTCGAAACGGGTCCAGATCCCGGCGGAACAAGATGGGAAACCCCTGTTTCTATTCGGTGGACGATAGTGTACAAAGTGTTGAAAGCTTGTTGAAACTTGTGATGGCACGTCCCCATCAACATCAAGTGAGTCCGGCTCTCGGTGAAACAAGAATATAAGACCGAAAGACTGTTGGTTCTGTTCGGTGGATGGGTGATCTTGTGCAAAGTTGTTGAAGCGCAATGATCATGTGGATGCGTGTCTAGAGACCCAGTCAGTCTGACGTTTTGGTACGGGCGCTTGTCTCCGTTGTCCTGATCCCGGGCTATACGACAATGTCTGTCTGCTGTCGTTAAGGAGAACCAGGACGATTCGATAAGCGCTTATTGCCGAATGGTTTTGGCATCCTGATCAATTACAAGCTTACCACGTCTTGTCAATCGGAGGCGGGGCAAAACTAGTCTCGCTGTCGCGCTTTGCAGCAGCGTTAAGTATTGCAACAGCACAGAACCATGCCAGCAAGGCATTGATGTTCACCTGCTCTTCGTCGAATACGCTGTACCGTTCCTCTTCGTCGCCTTCTCCACCTGCAAATTCACTGTAGTCGGGCTGCGACCCACCTCCACCGTTGTCGTCACCATCACCACCACAATCACCTACACCGCCCCCTTCCGATTTTACCGCCGCTGCTGTAGCAGTCTTTCCATGCTGCTCCTGGCTCCCACAAGATTTTTTCGTTTCAGCGCCTCGTGTCGCAGAATGGACTGATACGCTAGTGGAAAGGTGGCCGCTTTCTTGGCCGTTGTCGCTATCTTCTAAAGGTGGGGGACATTGACAAGTCGTCTTCTTTTCCCTCTCGATGTCCCCACTGCTCATCATCGATGACTCAGACGCGACCTAAGAAAGGGAACGTGGTTTGGCGAAAGTTGTGTGAAGAATATGTACCGGTTCTTGCCTCACGATGTTTGTGTTGCTCGTTGCTGGTATTGATAAGTGACATTTTCGTCATCTCTTGGATAGGCTTAGATGGCAGTGATAGAGCTGATGGTAAGTGCCAGTTGGTGTTGAAGGAGCTCCGGCCGTTTTTTGTGCGGTGGCCGTGGGTAGGTGTCGAAAGAACACTCGTGTGCATCTTGTTCAAAGTTTTCCACTGCCCAGAGTCTCTCCTGAAAAGCTTCTATTCAGCCTGGTAGATATATGTTTGGCAGTCACGCCTTACCCTCTTGAGTAGCTGATGCTCGTGCTTCGAACCCACTCTCGCTCTGCGCTCGGACCCACTTCGGACAAGTACCCCACCTCGTGCGTCAAGTCCATGTACACGAAGGCTCCTCTTTCTTCGGTTTGCCCGCGACGAAGAGGAGAAACATTTTCGTCTCGTAACCTGGCGGTTCCGATGAGGTCCGACGTTTCTTCCGCCGCCATTACTGCTGCTTGGGCCCTGACCTCGGTTCTTGCTACGGGCCGAGCCAAACAGGCGAGGTGCTGGCGAATAGCCTGCTTCGAACGCTTGGCCTCGGGTTTGTTGCACCTGATACGCATCGAGGGGGCATGGGGCCAGATGAACCAAGAGACGTCGAACCGCACACGGTGTAAATCAAACAAATGTCTCTCCACACGGTGGCAGTCCCCAGTGTCAAGTAAGGTGCCTTCGGTGTTTGATTTCCTCTAACCGTATTTGCCATGTATACGACCATCAACCCGTACGTTTCTGTTTCGGTAGAACGAAAAACCCAAACAATGTGCGTCCGTTGCCTTCCTGGGAGATTCACACGGTTTTCTTCTCAACAGGAGCGACGGATTTGCTCCATCACATAGCATGATCTACACTTGGCTCCCGTCCCCGAATGACACTCCCTCGGCATGATGAGTATCAGGTGTGCCCTCTTACGTCGCTATTCTTACCTGCTTTCTAAGGTGTGTCACGCCTCTTCGGCCAAACTCCTCCGGCGTAGCCTTTTCCCTCGCGTAACGGACCTTGTTCAAGAAAAGCGTGTGAAAGTCGACAGTGTGCCAGCATGGTAGACAAACCATAGACGATACCAATGGGCGAAACTTCTACGGTGGCGCCAGCAACACGGTAATACCGATTATTTTTGCGTTCTTTCGGAGTAGACGCACAGTCTCACGTACCGGCCGAACATTGCAGGCAATTTGAGGCTCTCTGTTGTGATAGAGGTGGCCCTCACGCTCAAATATTGAAAGGAGACCATCACATGGTCCAGGAACAACGCACTGAGTCATCACCACCGTAGATGCATCAACCACCAACGAGTCATAACCGTGAGCAACAGAAGAAGCCAACATGACACTTTACACGGCAAACTCAACAACAAAAAGGACAACACAAACAAGGCAAGAGTAGTACAACCTTAGTGCTTCTACAAAGGAGAAATGTGTGGTGACACATACTGTTGGATACTTTCCAGAGAAAGTCGATCACACCCAGTACCCAGGCCACCACCTCACCGTTCTCAGGCGCTCAAGAATCCTCTTCCTTTCTAGCCAATCCCTCTCCCATGCGGCCGCGTTGTAGCTCGGAGATACCTTTTCCATGTGCTTCACCTTCGGGAAGGAAGCGCCCCGCGGGGATTTCCCGATATAACGCGCGAACCGCCGATATATCATGGGCGAACCGCCGAGGTGTGCCCATTTGGGTAGAGCGGAGGGAGGGACGTGAGCAGTTGTTTTATCCGTACGCCTTCGGAAATATGCCGCCGAATGCAACCCGTCCGTCTTGAGACGCACATCAACATACTATTCCTGGAGCAGACACACGCTCACCTACCGTGTTTTCAAACGTTGATTAATGTTCTGTGCTTGCCATGTTCGTACCGGGTGGCGTGGGGGGGTTGAACACGTGCAAGCGAACATCCAGAAGAGGAGAGGAGATACGCACGAAGGCAGCAGAGGCCAAAACCTGGGAGCATCTTGCCGACGGTGCAGGACTCCCAACGCCAATCTCTTCAATATTTTTCGATGGGAAAATGTTAACCTTTGCCTCCAGTATTGCCCATAGAACCGTCGTTGAGCTGAGCCCTTTTCGTGTGCGCCACAACAGAGAGGTACGCCAGCATCGGTCCCGATATAGTGCCGCTCGAGTTTTACCGGTGCCCGGTGTAGTACCGCGGGCACAGACTATGGCACCAAGTAATTACGTGCTTTTAGTACCGGTGTCTGGTATGGTACCGGTCAAACCTTGCAGGGCACGTAACGGCACTATATCGGGACCTCAACTGAGGAAAGCCCATACTCGCCGCTGCTGAAGTCCCAGAGGTCACTAGGGCCGACTCACCCAAGTCTTGTTTTCCATCACGATTCGCTCGAGCTCTCGTTTTCTGCAGAGAACGTTGATGCTGAGGCACCGCCCGAGACCCCCCCCTCGACTGCCCCCGTTAGCGGAATCGTGGACCGGCAGTAGGGTCGACGGGGTGGTGAATATCCTCGTCATCTGCCTCAACAGATCTCTTTTGAGGGATGCCGTTTGTAGTGCGTTCGTAGTCGGGGGGCGCGGGGCGGTTGAATCAGGAGGTGGTGAAACGGGAAGATTTTCGAACAGTACGTGTTGGGAACACCGTCTGGTGCATGTAGCTACGCAGGGGCCCTCAGGCCTGGTTTGGAAACACTGAGGAGATGTTTGGTTCTACGAGGAGCAATTTGCGTTGCAAAGACGTATGTGTGCGTGCGAGGTAGGTAGGCTCCGGACATGTATCGATCGTCTGCTACAGGGGATACATATCCTCGACTTGCGGATCATGTAGATCTCTGCGTGTAAACGGTGGAGTACCCCAAGGTGGTGTGGTGAGGCGTTCCGCGATTGGAAAGGGTCTGATAGATGCGACTGTGAGTGGTGCGACTGTGGGTAGTGGAAGTCTTCAACTCTCCGATCCGAACATGATGGAGCGGGTGACCATTTCCCCTCCGAATGTCAGGGGGAGGACTGTCCTAGGGTTGTTGATGTGAGAGAGCAAATGGTAAAAGTGGAACTGTTCAACGTAATGCATCAACCGCCTCATGCATGAGAAAGCCTCCCAGATTATGGGGAGACGGTTAAACAAAGGTTGATTAACCTGCAGAGGTGACGAGAGTCCCGCAAAACTCTTTGACAGATAGAAGTACTCGACTTCCGCCGCAATGCGGAATGTCCCAAGCTGATTCGCGGAAGTCCTGTTTTATTTCACAGCCAAGCGTGTACTGGAGGCTACTGGCAAAAAAGTTGCTACGAAGAATGATACGAACAATCATGAACGTACCTGTTGGCCCTCTCGACTTGAGCATCTCTGGAGGCGAGCATAGCCATTTTCTTGGGCCGCGTCTTGAGGTGCATGAGATGTGTGGTATACGGGGGCATATTGTCCAAGGTACCCGTCCCGGGGGGCCTCCTGCTGATCTCCTGCAGGCGTTTTTCATGATGAGCTCGAAACTTTGCCTGGCAGAGGCAGGAAGGCGGAGCCAGTGATGTCGAATACAGATAGGGCCCGCAACTAAGACAAATTCTGCAAGAAAAAGGCTCACATGTGTACGGAAAGTAAGAAGAAAGGGTAAAAAAACGCAGCTCAATCTCGACCACAACACTAGAAACGTCCCAAAAAGAAGCATGATCGTGCGATACATCAAGACAATAGATACAAGGGGTATACAGGCTGTGGGAGCGTGTCTAGTGAGAATCGAATCGCGCTACTGCTGCTGCTGCCGGGCTCCCACCCCTACCTATTCATAGCTCATGTCATGTAATTTTTGGAAGGGGGGTAGAGGGTTATTTTCGCGGCGTACAACGCGCGCCAGGGCGACCGCGGGCTGCGCTACCCACTGCTGCTGGACTGCCATAACCCAAATGTTCGCCACACCAAGCTGTCGGTTCAATGCTGTATGAAGGTTTGGTGTGTTGTTGTATTGTTCGCTAGAAAGAAATGCGAAGAAAAAATAATTAGTAGGATGCGATAGCGCAAAGGAAAAAAAAAAAATCTTCCCAAGGAAATTGGCCGACTTTGGCTGGTCCTTGTGCCCAGAGTATGAAATTGAGGCCGATCCGATTTTGACGTTTCTTGTCTCCGGGCCCTATCTGTCCCAATACCCCAAGCGATTCCCCAGACTGCATCGGCCGGATCCACATCATCACCCGAATAATTCTTATGGCACGTTACAAATCTTGCCAAAATTGTTGAAGTTGTAGACTAGACCTATAAGTATCGGATGGAGACGATTAGTCTGTGTAGTCTAGGCGCGATACAAACAGGAGCTCTATAGACCATGTGTTGTCGTCTGTTGTATTGTATTAGCACAGGTGACTACTGTACGTACATACATTGTGCGTACTTACAGGGAATCTAGGATGAGATTTTATGCGAGTCAAGCGAAATTTGTGGCAGTACATGTATTGCTACTCTGTTTGTACACAGCAACCTAAATGAGAGGCTTCTCCTCTGAATGAATGTGCGGACCCCGGCAATGTCATCAGACGACCATTCTACATGTACCTGCTTATCCCCCCAGCTAGAGGTCTAGATGTGGCGCGGGCGGGAGGTATAAACGTAGAAGACGGCACGCAAAGTACATGCAGTAGGGCATGGGGGCGATGCTTTCTCTGACCTTGTGTAATTCCCTGGCGAGCCCTGGTTTCTGAGCGTCCATCCCTACCCGAGAGCGGTGCATGACGACTGGCGGGTGGATCGTGTTGATGATGTCTGGGCGTCTTCTCTTCCTCGATCTCACTTCCCCCGTTTATCTCTGGATATGCTTAGCACGGGAACGCGGTACGATGGGGAGCTTCTCTGTCCCCTGTACACTTCCTCCCTTGCCCGTCCTTGCGCACACTTGTATAGCGCTGTTAGCGCTTTAAGCCCATTGTGCGTGTGCTTTGTGCGAAGCGGCACGAAACACGCCGCAACTTCACGTATTCCTCCGCCACCGTCCGTTAGAACGGCGTCTCCGTACAAGTACACATCCTGTCATCTCATCTTGAATGGGGCAGGCCAGCGCCGTGCAGGACTACGGCGGGAAGGAGTACTGGGGGTGCTACACCGTAGCAGCGACTGCAACGAGCCACGAGTATGTGGTGACGCACGCGACTGGCTGTTTTATCATCACCAACAACTTCAACAGCAGCAGCAGCAGCAACGCTCATTTACCACAAATCACACCACTGGAGAATCGGCGTGCATGTTCGAGACATCGTGAGACATGGTACATAAGGCTAATGTAGCGAGAACAGAGAGATTTTCAAAACAAGACATGGAAGATCTACGAAAAAATGGGAGATTCGACCCGGAGGAATTGACGATAGATACAATGCAGCAGTTTCATTTTTTTTCTGAATATCACACAACAAATCCATCTCTATGCAGTGGGGGCAACGGTTCAAGAGAGGGGTGTTGTTCTTGTTGTTGTTTTTCTTCACATTAAACTCGTGTCAGTTGCAAATCCAAAAATCTAGCAAAAAAAAACTCGGTCCGTGGTCACAAAAATGCTAGAGCCATCAGAAGATCTAAAGAACACACACACTATTAGCAAGAAAAGGGTACGCAAGCCCGAGGAGTTACACCTGCAATACCTGCAGCACGTTTGCATGCTCACAACTGAACTACACGCCCACACACTACAAATTGACTACATACAGCAGCAGCATCAATCCCAAATATGAAGAATATATTAAAGAAAGTTTTCTCATTTAACCAAAATGAACGTTTGTCGACTACAGCGTACTGCTGTCTGAGGAGTGCTGTCTGTACAATAACACCATGGTGCATGGTACACAAGCTCGGGGCATGCAGCTGCTGTCTGAAGTGCTGTCAGGATGAGTCCGTGGACATACAATTAAGAATAACACCCAACCAAAGCCATCATTGCAATTGACAATCACCCGAATCTATCCAGATCATCTGTGTTAGGCACAGCAGTGTAAACATCGACACTGACTAGGGATCGTTCCACACTGAAGGGGTCTTCGACGATGCAGGTACACAATTAGAAGCACCCGGGTCATCCGCGCCATCTCTGCCGCGTCTCTCTACAAAACCAGTGACGTCATCTCACACACCCGGTCGCCCCGGTGGTCTAGTGAGTAGCCTCGCACCCTGCTAAGGGCCAGGTCATGGGTTCGAGTCCCGACAGCGAGAGTTTTTTTCTCACTAAATAAATCCTGGTCTAGGATGAAAGCGATGCGCTGCAAAGCTCGTTTGTTAGTAAACCATGATCGACTTCGTAAGTCGCGAGGGAAGGGATTGCTGTACCCTTCTCGCGATATAAATACCTCAGGCATGAACCGCAGGAGGGGGTCCAACCCCCCCCTCCTATGTGACCCCGGTTGGGTCGTCTAGCTAGTAGAAGTGGAGGATAGGGGCCAGAGGGGCAGACGACAGAGTCCAATGATGGGAGAAAAACAAACAAAAAAAAACAACACCCGACACCGATATTCAGGGAAAAAATGGAAAATACTTGACAACACAAGAGATGTTTGTCCGTGCGGCACGGTTCGATGCCGTCCGCATGTCCGGTTCCGCTGCCCCGGTGCCGCTGCTCCGATGCCGCTGCTCCGGTGCCGCTGCTCCGGTGCCGCTGTGGCCAGTCCTAGCACAACCAAAATCGACCCGCTCCGCTTCGTACACGCTCTCATTGCTGTCCATCCCAGTCGGTTCCTCGCTTTCTCCCTCATTGCGCTTAGGGTTCTTGGTCTAAAATTTCTCGCGCCGAAGGGTCAACCAGCCCAATCAGCTCGTCACCACCTGTCCCCTCCTCCTTTGATGGCAAAACCAGGTTACTGAGACAGGACAGCTCCCTCTAGCAAACCTAGGCCCGTGTACTTAGTGCCCGTCCACGTTTCTGATGACGTCTGCCTCCGCGCACAAGGATGAGATGGGCATTGCTGCTTACACCGACGGCCTGGAGGCCCGCGCATCTGCACCTTTGTCCCTGACGCACCAGCGCCGACCCAACTCCACCACTACGCACGCCTCGCGGCGGGTGCGCCGCAGCAAGAAGATATCGGTCCCTTAAGGGTGAGTCTAGCCCTGTTCGCTAGAAAGACCCCCCCCCTCGCTATGGGTCATGCCTGCGCAAAACCTTCCCGAGGCAGTGAGGGGAAGAAAGAAGTGTGCATCACCCAGAAGACCCTCTCTTCAACACGACCTTCTCTTGATACGGTTTAAGAAAGGTTTTCTCCTAAACCGTACGTTCGGTTTAAGAGAAAACTTTTCTCCTAAACCGATAAAATATCTTTTAATAGGGCCTAATAAGACTCGGCCTAAACAGCTTTTTTTTTGCAAAACAAAACAAAAAGCGTACCCCTAACGGGCCACACTTAAAAAAACAACAACCAATTATTAGACTAGAGGTTCCAAGTTCAGACCCTTCACGTCGGCCCCTCCCTACCAACAGATGTTCAGCTTTACCGCGGAACCCGCCACAGGACAGCACAGCACGGACAGACAGCCGGCACACGAGAAACAAGAGCGAACTGCCGCACTCCCAACGTAGAGATGGTGGGACAATTGTGCCGCTGCCACACCCTCGTCCTACTCCTCCTCAACGCCGCAGCTGCTTCCGAGGGTGGCATGCAACGGCAAGAACACGGCCGTTACAGCAGTCCACTTGAAACTTTGGAGTCTCCACCGAGCGTTGCATTGGACGATGATGGCGCTGCTGCTGGGGTGGGTCACCCAGAGACCAACCGGTGTTCGGATCTAGATCAATCCGCTTTCTCCATAGGCATGCAATGCGGGCCACCTCTGTCACCACCTTGCTTTCAATGCAATTCTACAGAGTGTTTGGGGAATGCCGGGATATATGTTTTCGATTCGGAGTGTTCGCTTTTGGAGACTAGCGAGTTGCGCGTTCCGGATGAAGAACAAAAAGTTAGCTGGGCTTGGATGGACCATCACTACGTCGAATGGGTTCTACGAAACGAAGCCGAGCAAATGGGGATGCTGGCGGAAACGTACGAGTCAGCCTGCATTTTAGTGCATGTGTCACCGGGAAGCACTAAGCCATGTGCGGTGGATCAACCCCGGTGGAACGGTGGCGCCAATCATCTCCTCGTGGATATGTCCGACAAAGGGAGGTGAGAGTAGCGCTAAAGCGCGAACTGCATGTGACTTGGTGTTGAATTGTTGTCGTTGTTGTTGTTGTTGTTGTTGTTGTTGTCTTCACATTGAAAATCGCTCCGATCTCTGTCTACCCAGTACCACCTTCGTATGTCCGTGCTGATCCTACTCTTGACGCGGTCGATTCCCGTGGTCACAGGCTAACTTACACTCAGAAGGTACAATAAAAAAAAGGGAAAACGACACAACAGGGTATACCCTGGTCGAAAAGCGACACACCTGGGTATAGTCATTAACAGCAGTAAATGCACTCATATCATTGGTCAGCGCCCAATTTCACCCCGGTGCATCCGAAAAGGCGCAGGTTATACCCTGCCGTGACTATTTTTCTCAAAAACTGTACCCTGTTTTCGGAAATGTACCCTGACCTGTCGGGAAATTAGACCCTTTCAGTATTCATTTCCCCCGCAGGAATCTTCCCAACTCCTTTTCACCTTCAACCATGGGATGCCCAACGGCGACTCTTCCCGCCCAACAACAACCATGGCAACGGGGCAGGAATCAGTTTCCGCCCCTGCGAAACAACATCAACCGTTAACTCTTCCGCTCTAAGTCAACAATGGCCGGAATCAGTTTCCGCCCCTACGAAACCACACCACCAACCGTCAACTCTTCCGCTCTAAGTCAACAATGGCCGGGCAACACGTATCCCAGCACAATTGTTCCGTTTGGAAACATGCACACGCGCGTACGATACCCCGTGGACGACTGCTTGATGCAGTCTATCTGCGAGACGCACGGGTCACGCTGTGAAAGCGAGACCGATCCAGCATGGTTGACATGCATAGCACGTGCTAGAACTAGTGTGTGGCGCCGTACTGGCGGTGAGCTCGCGCCCGCAACGAGGGTGGAGGGGAGAGGCAGGACCAGCACACACAGACTCGCCCTTGACATCAATCAAGCACACACAAGTCTTATCCTTACTCTAGCAGCAGGACACTGCTGTGTCGTGCAACTCGATCACCCTCCCTGCCGATAGACAGAAGCAAGAGTGCTCGCGGTATTTCATTGAAGCCTGACGTTTTATTACTACATTGATTGGTCGGCTTGGTCGGCTGGTAAGCGTGACCGCTGCCGCTACAGCAGTAGTTCAGGCAAGAAAAACATCGCGATTGAGACAAAACAGACAACGCACGCACGCACACACGGCACATCGCAATTAAGACACACAACAGACAACACACGCACGCACACATGCATATTCATGTCAACCATGCTGGATCGGTCTCGCTTTCACAGCGTGACCCGTGCGTCTCGCATGCAGACCAAGCAGTCGTCCATGGGGTATCGTACGCGCGTGTGCATGTTTCCAAACGGAACAATTGTGCTGGGGTACGTGTTGCCCGGCCATTGTTGACTTAGAGCGGACGAGTTGACGTTTGGTGTTGTTTCACAGGGGCGGAAACTGATTCCTGCCCCGTTGCCATGGTTGTTATTGGGCGGGAAGAGTCCCCGTTTGGTATCCCATATTGTTGTTGTATTGTTGTCTTCACATTAAACCGTATGTTGTTGTTGTTGTTGTTGTTGTTGTTGTTGTTGTCTTCACATTAAAAACCATCCCGGTCTCTCTATCCAGTACCTCCTTCTGTCTCAATCTCT